TGTGCACGAACCGCCCGCACCTCGCAAACTCCGCCGGCAAGTCAGTAGCCCCGCAGTCGGTCGGTCGGTCGGTCGGTCTCGCTCCCTCTGTAACCCTTTCAGTCCTGGGTGCAAGGTGTACTGCTCCCCCGGGGAGCCCCGTCTCGTCCCCCGTCCGTGTGTGTCCCCCCCACCTGCCCCTTTTCCTGGCGGATTTCAGGGCTCGCTAGCGGGTATTTATCCCCGGGGGGGGGGGGAGGAGGGGGCGAGGACGCAACTTACCCTCCAAACTATGCACAAGCTCGTCTCTGCTTTCCCCTTCAGATCAACTTTAAAGAGCAGATTCTCGGTCCGGGAGGCAAAGAGGCAGGGGAGGAGAGGGGAAATGGTTTAGGAACAGCGGCTGCCAAGTGGGTGAAGTTCGGGGCACAATCCTGGCTCTTCCACGCTCCAGCAGCCCAGCATCTTCCCGGGATCTGGAGAACAAGGTGTTCAACAAGTCTTCTTTGTTACCCGAAATTGATTGATGATGGCTTTCCCGCCGGGCTGTATTTAACAAAACGATGCAGAGAGCTACTCTGACGAGCAGGAAATTTTAGAGGAGCTCGCAATATAGCTGCAGCTTTAATTTATCTATTTCTGTCTCTCTACGTACGTACGTACAAACACACATACACATGCACACCTGTGTATGTGTATATGTGTAGATAAATAAAAAGATATAACTCTACCAATACAATGTTGGGTCCGTGGGATCTTAGAAAAGCCTGCCTGTCGGCTGCGTGGAAGTTAAAGAGTTTTTCTTAAGCAAAAGGGGCTGATGCTTGGACACATCTCACGTCCAACAGGAGGCAATGACGTCTGTAGCTTCATTGCTATAACAGCACCAAGGCTGCAATTGCCATTCACTGAAATGATAAGGGGCGCTCAGACGTAAGCAGTCTGGACCTCTAGCAAGAGACTGAAGCGAAGATGGTTTTTCCCCTCCCAAAACAAATAATAATGCTAAAAAACACCTAAGGAAAAGAGACGGGGGAGCAGGGAAAGGAATCTAGGTCTTGCAGTCACACGCTTCTGCAACATGATCCTCTAGCTCCAGAAACATTTATTTTTTGCAGCTGACTAGACTTTGGGAAATTTCAATGTATTATGATTGCTCGGGCGGGGGGAGGGGAGGGATTTTTTTTTTTCCCTTAATTATTTCTGTCTCTCTTCAAGCAGGCATTGATGAAAGCCGGGTAAAAGTGCCCTCCCCCCACCTTTCCAAATATATTTAGGCTCGGGTACACGCTGAAGTGTTTCTGCTGTATGGCTAGATCTTCTCAAGTAGCAATTTCTTGCTATATAGGCTGCAACGATTTATTTTTTTTTTTTTTTTAGCACTGGAAGGTGCTCACAAAGAAAAAAGGGGGAAAAAAAAAGCCGATGCGAAGCAGCCGGCTCCTCTCCGTGTGGGGTCATACTCCCACTGCCACGGTTTTGACCGCATACGGGGACCGC